ATATATATTAATTAATTGTTAATTGTTAATCAATAACTAATGAATAATGCAATGATTGGCATGATGAATAGTGTTGAAGTGAATGGGCAGAAGAGATGTAGTGTGGTGATGAACATTTAGGCTATGTCTATTTGGTCGAATTTCCTCAAATTTTACTGTTTAGATTCTGCATTTTTTGAAAAAAAATATATTTTTTTCTCTCACAATATAAGTCAATACAATCCGCACAGTCTTATTCGGAAATTCATTTAATCCTAAGTTCAAATAAGTCTAATATTACTGTGTTGTATTGCATTACATGCACATGGTTTACATATATATAATATTTATTATAATTTATGATTAATATAATGGGTGAGATTTATTTATGTTTTATAAAATTAAGAGGACGTACCCTATAAATGTAAAGTAAATATAGAATAAATTTATAGTAATAATTTATTTAGGATATTTCCATAATGATGCAGATTTAGTAAAAAAATTATAGCAAATTTTTTTGGGAAATTTAAATGAGTATATACATTTCGAATTAATTATACATATTGTATGTAATAAAATTTTCAGAATATTTTACCTAACATCTTAAATAGAATTTTATTATATTTTGAATAGCACATTATTAAATAACCTAAAGCATATATAATCTAAAGAATAATTATCAAAATTCGTTTTGTTATGAAACTTCAAATTTTATATAGTTATGATATCTAAAATTACATTCAATTGATAAAAGCATCTTCTTTGAACAATTTTTTTTTTTTTTCTGAATAATTTAAATCACACCTCGAAAATATTTTATTATATTTTATACAACATATTATAAAATGTCTAAAAGCACAATATAAAAATATGCCCTTTCTTATTAATGCAAAATTTTAAATTTTACATTTATAAATGACAAATTAAATACTACCCAAATGGTAAAAAATGTTATTAGTTGAAAATTAAATTTATATAAGAACTTTTAAAACTAATGTAAGTAAATAAAAAATTATATATATATATATTCTTATTAGTTAATTATATATATTTTATTAGTGTAAATTGATTTATTTTTTACTTATAGTTTGAATTGAGTAATTTGATTAACACAAATTTTAGTTTTAAATGCATGATAAATTGCCTAAAATAACACAAATAAGTGATAGCATATTATTCCTTTCCACAGTATTTTATTTTAATTGAAAAACACAATTATTTGTTTGTCTTACAAAAATCATATGGATATACTTCATCGTCCCTTAATCAGTGTATCATATATTTTTGCCATTTAATTTTATATATAAAGTAATTGTATGTGTAATAGTATATTTGTAATTTAGATAAAAATTAAAAGTATTTTAGTATTAATGTATGATTATTTTTTCTAAGATAGAAAACAATAAATAAAATAGACAAAATAGTAAAAAGAGTAATTTGAATTGGAACAATAAGAGTATATTATTATTTAAATTGGTATAAAACATAACAAAAGCCTGATAATAGCATAATATAAATTTACTTAAAGCATATTATTAACAAAATGATAATACCTACACATTAAGTAAACTCATTTTACAAAAATCACAACAAAAAATAAAAATAAATAAATAAAATTCAATAATTTCAATCTACACTCCATTTTTCTTAATTCTACTGGTAGCTCTTCTTTGAATCAGTGGCGATGGGTGGAGGATAATTGGTCCGAGAATACAAATGGCAACTTCAAATCAAGGTGATGCTGGAGAGATGACACAATCGTTATAGGTATTTGAAAAATAGCACCCGAGAACGACGACAAATGGTTCTATGGTGATGATAGCATGCGGTGGATGTAGATGACTGCGCATGGTGGAATTTTCTGGGAGGGAGATTATTTTTGTGTGAAGAGGGGAGAGAAAAATTAAAGTTTGGGAATAAAGTTTGATAGTACAATAAATTTCATCATTCCTCATTGCTGAAATGAATTTCAACTTTTAAAAGTTTAATTACTTAAATTATTTTTATTTAATTAAGATAATTAGATGGTTAGGATTAATTCAACCTTATGCTGAATTAATTAACACATTAAATAAAAATAATTTAAGTAATTAAGCTATTAAAGATCACTACAAGAAAATATCATTTTTGTAACGAGATTTTTTCATCTTTAAATTCACTTTTTCCGTTACTAGTGATATTAGAGACAGAATTAACGATGAAATTACGTTAGCTACGTGATCTTCAGTGACGGAATTTCGTTACAAATATACTATTTTTTTGTAGTGGATTTAGATTAATTTCAGTAATGCGGAATGATAAAATTCAACATCCTTAAAAGAAATGTAAATTTTTATTGAGATGTTAAAATATAAATTTTTACAATAATTACAATGTCTATTTATAAAATTTAAATATTGTGAAAACTAGTTCTGCTCTATTGACAACGCAAAGAGATGCAGCTTTTCAGTATAAGAAATAATCACAGTTAAATCATTTTTTAAGTTATTTTCTAATATTCTAAATTTAGAAGTTACTTCCTAAATTAGATCTGATAAAGAGCGTGTTTGGTAATTAGCCGATAGTTGTTAGCTGTTAGCTGATTCAATTAGCTGGTTTGACTAGATGATCCGATTAGCTGTTTGTATTAAAATATTTGGTAAAACAATTGTTTGATATTAGCTGTTTATACGTAAAATGACAATTGAGGGCATTTCTATTTTTTTTTTCTAATATATTCAATTATGTTTTTTGAGTTTAGAATGTTTGAAATTTTTTGTTATTGCTATTTAAAATTGTAAAAGTGTTATAAAAATATTTATTTTTATTTTAGTTAGATTTAAAAAATAATAGATTTTTATTGAAATATATAAATAGTTTTTTCCATTGAAAATTATGTAAAATATAAAATAATAAATTTTTTGTGTATATATTTATGTTAGTTATCGATTAGTTCATTATATTTATAATTTTCAATAAATTTAATTTATTTAATTTATTTTTAGCATAAAATTTATATAATGTAATTTTAATATAAAAATAAATTATTAATATTTATATTTTCTATTTTATGTTGATTTTAATAAATTTATATATTTTACAATTAAAATAATTTTTATATAAAAATAATTATTTTAAATTTATAAAAGTAAAACTATAATATAATAAAATATTCTAATATAATTAATAAATAATCAAAATATATTTATTTATGTAAAATACATAATAAATTTTTAAGGGAATATGAAGAATAAATTTTTTTTTTTTCAGAAAAAGCTATTTCAAAACGCTGGGTAAGTTAGCTTTTCAGAAATTAGTTTTTTTGGTCCAAAAAGCTATTCCAAAAAGCTAATTTACCAAATACTTAAATTGGCTTTTTGACTGGTCAAACAGCTCAAAGTTGTTAAATAAGCTAAAAGCTCTTCAAAAAACTATTTATGAAACACCCAAAATAAAATAAAATAAAATAAAATAAAAATAAAAATAATATTTTAATATGATTGGGGCGCCTCAGGCCTGGACGCTTTCCGAAATATATCCATTGCCCCTAAACTAGATCTGATAAAATAAAATGAAAATGAATATAATATGATTTAAAGAGGTTGGGGCACCTCACGCGTGGACACGTTCTGAAATATATGCGATAGGGCTTCACCCTCTAGAAAATAAATTTGACAGTGCCCGGACTATCTAGAATATATATGGCACCGCTCCACCTTCTGGAAAATACATTTGATATTTCCAGACCATCTAAAATATATCGGCTAGCGCCCCAGGTTCTTAAAACATATTTAGGCCTTCTTAAATATTTCTGATTACATCCGGACCTGCTGAAATACACCGCAAACCTCTTGAAATACATGTGCAACCTTTTACATCGCCTGCACACCTATCCCGACACCGTGCCTTTTATGCCGACACCTTTTGCATCAGCCCGGGCAACTTAAGCATCAATGGAGATGATTTTTGCATTAATCCGGATGATTCCTACCATACTCCGGGCAACTTCTGCATCAGTCCAGGCGCCACCTGCATTTGTCCGCAGGATTTATGCATCTGCCCAGGTGCCTTCTGCATCAGTTTGGGCGATTTCTGCATCAGTTCATGCGTCATCTGCATTAGTCCAAGCGATATCTACATTTGTCTAGGCGCGTCCTTCGCACTCTAACAGCGGTCTTGCACATTATTTGTGCAATTTCGGCTACTAGTTCGGTGCCAGTTGATTCGGGCGACCTATCGACTCCCGATCATGGACAGTCGATATTCAATCACTGACAGCATATGTGATCGAGGCAAATGACGGCTCAAACTCCTAGGCATTTATCAACTTTGAACTCCATTCAAGCACCGTGGAATATTTTATTTTCTAATTTTAATTTTGTGGAATAACATTATTATTATTATTATTAAATTTCCATTTGTAGTCAATTATTTGTTTTTTCAAGAGCTTCATAATCAAACACTTGATTTCATACCAAATCATTATATTTAATAATTATGTTCATCTACAAATATTAAACAAAAATTTATGTAAATCAATTGCACACTCCATGAATATCTTCTTTTAGTATTTTCGAATTTTTAAAGTTTTTGTTATTAGTTATATTAGGGAGAAATATGAAAGTGTTAAGGAAGAATTGCAATACTGTATGGATTAAGTATTTTTTTTTAAAAAAAAAATAATAATAATACTTCATTCGTTCTTCAAATTTATTATCATTGTTTTTTAGTTTGTTCACTAAATTTATTTCATTACTAATTTTGACAAAAAAATCAACTAATAAAAATTTAACTATTATTCTCCCTTAAACCCTAATTTACAATAAATATTATTATTTTTATTTACTTAATTTCTTTCTAACCAAAATTTCAAAATTCTATCAACCACCTTTGCATTTTTACTAATTTTCAATAAAATATTCACTTTTGTTAATTTTGTGCTAGCTAATTTTAAATTTTTTAATTTTAATGAACGAGAGAGAGTATGATTTTATTAAAAAAAATATAAGTAAATTTTTTATTAATAAGAAATATGAAAGAAAGACAAATCCAAATGTTCATCAAGTATGCATAATAAGTGAATTACCCTTACAAAATAAAGAAAACTTTTACCACGATCAACATCAACCGTATGGACTGTCCTCGTACATTTGCAATGCCGAGTTATAGTTACTAAAGCCTCCATCGACGAACAGGTTATGTCCGCTCACATATTTCGCCTCGTCGCTCGCCAAAAACAAGGCCGCATTGGCAATATCATCAGCCTTCAAAACAACACCCTTAAGATTTGCCTTGGATTTCATCATTTCCTCCAAAGCCTCGTCGTCAAGTCCCACGAATCCCTTCGCCAATGGCGTCGCTACCACGTGAGGAGAAATGCAATTCACCGTGATCCCATATTGCCCGAGCTCCACGGCGAGGTTCCTCGTGAGCCCCACCACCCCGTGCTTGGAGCACGTGTACGCGTGTGTTGCCGCCCCTGCTAGCCGCGACACGATGCTAGAAGTTGAAATAATGGTGCCATTGCGCGCCGGGATCATAACACGTGCCGCGTGCTTCATTCCTAAGAAAACACCCGTGACGTTGACGCTCAGCACGCGCTCGAAGTCTGTCTTCGCAATGTCCACTATGCCCACATTGGGGAGGTCGGAAATGCCGGCGTTGTTGAACATGATGTCTAGCTTTCCGTATTTCGAAACTGCGCCGTCCACGGCGTTTCTGACATGGTCCTCTTTGGTGACGTTGCAGTGGATGAATGTCGACTGGGATGGGCCGATGTTGGCCACGACGGAATCAGCTAAATCATCAGCCACATCAGCAATGACTACTTTAGCGCCGTGTTTGGAAAATAGTTTTGCCGTGCATTCTCCTATCCCGCTAGCTCCACCGGTTATCAGTGCAACTTTTCCTTGCAATCTACAATATGAAGGAATTCCATATGTTGTTATTTCTTTGAGATCTTTATATGTATTTAGAAAAAATAACATAATATATATAATTTTTTTATTTGAGGACGTTGTCGAATGAAATTTTTTAGTATAAATGCAATAAGCAGTGAAAGAACAAAAATTATGAATAAAATCAGTTGTAACGGATTAAGATTAATAATCGAATAACAAATATAAGCGTAATGAAAACACAGATTTACGTGTTGGCTACTTCGTCCATGAGCAAAAACGGAAAACAGATTTATTGAGGGCGACTTATATTACAAATTACATGAGATACCGATTTGTGAGTCACTGATAGGCAGTGAGACCAACAAACTAAAATTCAACACATATGAACAAAATCATATCAAATTATGCATAGTTAAAATATTTAAATATGATTCAAATTCCAGTACTTGCAATCGACCTACACAAATAAATAAATAAATAAATACATGTATATATATTTTCTTTTACTATAATTGAATTGTAAGAGAAGAATCAATGTTGATGCAATTGATATGTATCACTTAGTGCCCAATTCAAATAAGAATGTAGAAAGTCTTTCTTAACACCAAATTTATAGATTATTTTTAAAATCAACCAATTTAAATCTAATTAAACTGTTAAGTGTTACAAACAAGTTTCCATGACAGGGCTATAAATTGAAATAAATATATGAATGTGATTCTTAAAGTTTTTATATTGTTATAACACAATTTTACTTTATATCATATGTAGAATAAAATGGTTTTTTGCACATGAGTAACTCTTTGGAAACGTGTGCATATTTTCAGTAGGCTATTTTAAATTGGATTGTTTAAGAATTTTAATTTATGAGGCTATACCAACATATGATGCGATACGATTAAATTTTTAATTCCATTCATAATAAATACCAAAATATGAGAAAATCATTTTTATAAATACGAGGAAACGTTAATGATAAATTAGATTAAGTGCCGGTGGAAGCCTGGATGGCAAATAAGGCAAAAAAAATAAAAATAAAGGAAAAATAAAAGTTATTTGAAGCTGCTACCGAACCCATGACCTCATGATTACAAGTCCAATCCCAACACCACCAGACCATCCCTTACCAGATATTTAGTAATTATTTTACTTAATAGCCGTTTAGATGTAATGTTTTATGAATGTACATTTATATTGAAAATCATAAAATTTTAATAGTAGGATCAGGTTTCCTTTGAATAGTAGACTAGTTGGCATATAAATAGAGGAGAAGTACACATGATGATGGTGTTTTTCAAAAAAAAAAAAAAAATTTTAAAACACAAAAAAAACTTATATATTTGCTAAATATTAATTGAATTTCCGACTAACCAAATAACTATTTACAAATATTTAGATCTGAACCAAATGAAAAATGAATCATAGTGCAAAATTATTAAATATTTTCAAACTATCCAAGAAAAGATATTATAAATCAAAATTGAACCGAATGGAATAAATTGTATTCATTCAACTGAGCTTTTTCGGTTGACAAAAAGTTCACTATGGCTCAACCATTCAATTCAAATCAAAATAAAGAAAATCATGAGTTTGTTTGGTTTTTATTTCGAATAAAGTTTCTCATTTTTTATTTTGCACGATTTATAATTAATTCATGAAGCTTTTCATAGAATTGGAAGAGAAGAAAACAATTATCTTTAGACAGAAAACAAACAAAGGAAATGAAGCTTTTCAAAGAATCTATGTGAATAAAAACCAAAAAGAAAAGGTAGGGGAAGAGTTTAGTTGACCTTTTTGTGAGTGCAGAAGCTAGCAAAGAAGCCTGACTTGCCATAGCAATTGATGAGATAGATCACAGATGATTAATAACCCACAAATGTGACCAACACCATAATTTAGGTATATACATGAATATATATATATATATACACATATTTATATCGCATCAAATAATTATTTCAATTTAAAATTTTATTATTCAGAATCAACCTTAAAAATAAAAATTAGAAGACAAACACAGCTACTAATATTATATAGTCCACGTTAATCCAGATCTTATGCGTACGTCGATATCATTAATTAAATATAATATTACAAATAATAAACTCGGTGCTGCAATAGAATCCTATGGAAATTGATGAACATCGGCTTTGGGCAACCAATATAATGTAATAAAATAAATGAGTAGTTCCATATATATAGTTTAGTTTGCCGGCGGTATTGGTTATGGGTTTGGTATTCTTAAAAATAAAATGTGTATATACATTTTCAATATTATTTTATTAAGAAATTAATAATTTATCTTATCATCTAATTGTACAGTTGTATTGATAATTAATTTGTCGACTTTATTTTATTAGTGGAGTCATATTGGTTTTTAACTTTTAAGTTTTCTTTCTTTTTTTTTTGGATCGGTTTTTAACTTTTAATTTTGAAGGTACTAAAACATGCAATTCAGCACCAAATATTTTAAATATGAGCAATAATCAATATTATATATATATAAGAAAAAAAAAACACTAAAATTTATACGTGCTTAGATAGACTATCCGATAGTAATTAGCTACCATAGAAATAACAAGTAAAAATGTGAAGAAACTATAAATGTAGTTGAACACAAAAGATATTTACCAGAGTTCGCCGGATGCAAAAGCGATGAAGAAAAAATAAGTTTGGCTGAAGATTTTGCTGAACAATATTGTTGGATATTCGATCGGTTCCAAAAGAGGTCTAACGCCTCCGAGTTTTATCCGCAGCGAAAATATGAAATTGTCGGTGATTAAAACAACTTTGAACGCATAGTTGTCTCGTAGTTTAAACTGCAATGTGTATTTATGCACAAATCGATGGGTGAACAAGTTCAAAACAAGAACATATAATACACACGATTTGTTGACCCAATTCGGGATAACTACCTATATTTGGGGATATCAATCCAAGAGTTTTTCACTAAATCAAACGTTTACACCATTCAAGACACCAAACAAATCTCACCAACCTATCATCTACCCAAGCTCCTATTTATTTTACAAACACAGGGGGACTGACTATTACAATACGGAAATAACTCCAGCATACTCGCAGTCAAGCTAAGAGTAAACTTGATTCCATATTGGTTGTCTCCATCTGTTTTAACTTCTTTTTCTCCTTCTTCTTTACAACATCAAATCTTCATTGAAGCTCTCTCAACTCTCTGAAGTGAGGAGGAAAAATATTGTTGTGGAAGTGTGAACAACTTCAACGATTCAAACACATACATACAAACAAAACACACACACACTGCACACAAATGGACAAAGTTGACTGTGAGCAACTTTGGGGCAGTGAGTACTAGACAATAATGCCATTCAGGACCAAAAGGACATTTCAATGAACTCTCTTGCATCTTCTCTTCACAGGGCATATATATTTGTCACATTCCAACGTGTATGAGACATGTTTCAATGTAGCCAAAGTGATCAATGTCAACTTTCTACCTGCCTACAGATTTTCTGAAATGGTGTCAACAGACACCTGGAACGGCACACTTGCAATCTTGTTCCTATGCCAAAAATAGATGCAAAAGGAGTTTTGACATTTTGCATATTCCAACAGATATTAATGTAATATATTCAATTGTGCATGTAATAATTTTATAAATTTCATCCAATTTTAAAAAGTATTTGGTTGGTGAGTGTTCGTCTCGAACTCAAATATAATGCAAATGTGTAATGTTTTAAGTAGAAAATAGTACAATGAGTTCTTGTGAACGAAAACAAGAAAAAGCTCCCAAAAATAGAAAAAAACAAATAAGCAAAAAATAAGTAATAGGCAAATTAATGGCTTTCTCCTATGAATAATATCGGAGAAATATTGTCACTTTTTTTTCCTGTTGTAATACAACATGTAAATATATGATACGTGAAATGCAATAGAGTGGTTATGTAAATGACATTTCATGTTCAATCTTGATACATGCTATCTCAAATCGATTTACTGCCCTATAGATACTTGGGGATAGATAAACTAATTCTTTGGACTTCTTATCAATATAAATTGATCGTAACAAAATATACAACATTCGTGATTCGGACAATCCAATCCGCCTTGTGTAAGCCGAAGCCCCCCAAAATAGTTTTCAAGACTTATATAGTGTGTGCTAGTTGAAAAGGAAGGGACCTCGCATATAAGCTCGCTGCTTCGAAAACATGTGAAATGATGAAGACACTCTTGGGACATTCCTACTTTCCGGCTTTATTTACCGTTACACTTTCTTTCATTAGTTATTGACCTAATATTTTGTTGATCAATTAAAATATTTTTATAACCGGCGAGCAGTTCTCCTTGGCACTCATGATTGATGAACTAATAGATTTATTCACTACCTATCCTTTTACCACATATTCTTAGATGAGTTGAACTCAAGGAGTTGCTTTCGCGATAAGTCATGGTTCTACCTAGTAACATTAAGAATCCTCTCAAAACCCTCTAAATAGATTTGGCTAGTAAAGTTATATATGATCCATTGATTTAAGTTAGCATGCAATGAAAATCTCAACTTAGTATCGAAAGCATGTATGGTTAAGTGAGAGTAAGTGCAATGTAGAATACATACACAAATGTGCGGAGTCCGCTAGCTCATGAGGCAAAATCGAGCTTGTATTTTATTACAAATTAGCTACAATATGAAGAGACTAAAAGTGGAAAAAATAAAGTGAGATGTAGAAAAAATGAATGCAAGTAAGAGGTGAATGGCTGGCTAGGGAAAAATAGTGGATGAGTGATTAACTGGAAAGATAGAAATACTCCCTCTGTCCCACGTTGGATGTCTAGGTCACTGTAGATACGAGAATTTAAGATAAGTACAATTAGTAGATAATTAACAATATATTAGTAAAAATAATTATCTTATAATATAACTAATTAGTTTAATTAAAACTAAAAAAAATAAATTAGAAAATTTAAAATGAGATTAAAGTGTATAATCATTTTCAAAAAAAGGGGAATGATATGGAATATGGAACAGGCAGAAACAAACAGCAATGTGGACATGATAGGTGGGACAGACGAAGTAGTATTTATTAGAGTTGAAAGAAGCTTCTAGAAGCTCGGTGTTTATAACGGACTCTACTAATTTATTCTAAAATTTATGACTAACTTAAACAACAACATACAAATGCAAAACAAAAATGTTTGCTGAAGATTTGAGTTTGTGACCTTGTATTAACTTCTTCCCTTGCTTTTGTGAGTTGACAAATCTTTGGGGAGTTATTTTTTTACTTTGTGAACTAACATTGCAATTCACAAGAATTCTTCTTGGTTTATATCGATTTTTTGTAATCGGCAAGACTTTGATAGTCAATTCTACAAAAGAGTTACATTTAATTAGAATGGATAATTAGCTAACTTTACAAGCAAAGTTGGCCAAAAACCAACATTAAATATAGAAAAAGCAACTTAAATAAAAACATACTACAAATAAAATGACAACTAAATAAAAGCCAATTCGAAATACCATATTTAACCAAATAAATTGTCAAAAGGCATGATTTATGAGTAAATTAGCTAAACAATTAAACAGACTTAATCTAAGAAAATTCAACTTTGAAACATAAGTTAAATTACACATAAATTAGTTATAAATATTATAAAAATGACATAAATTAATATAATTAAACTAAAACAAAAATAAAGCTAAAGTTACACTAAACTAACTTAAGTAGCTTATAGAATGAAAGAAAAACAAATAAATAATTATATAAACATGTAAAAATAAATAAATTACAAAATACCGTTGCCAATGGCAGCAACTTCTCCCTCCTTAGCAAGCTTAAATTAAAACTTATTTGGCCCTTCAATTTCTTCCTTAAATTATTTTTTCTTTTGCAATTCATTCATTTTAATATTTTTTTAATTTGTAAAAATGCTAATATTACATCACATTGGAGTTATTCAAAATGTTCTATTTCTATTTCTCCTCCAATAAAAAAATATATTTATATATATCCAAAATTTCTTGATTTTTTAAATAAAACTAATTTTTATTAATCATAAATAAAGATTTATATTTTTATTTATTTATATTATATAAAAATTTCTCTACAATTGTATATATATTGTATTGAAATGTAGTTTTGAAATATTTAAATACATATTTTAAATTTTTTAATAATATATATGACATCATAAATTAATTAAATAAACCACTTTCAACCCAAATTCCAACTTAAATAATATATTTGTAACGGAATTTCGTCCCTAAAGTTCACGTAGCTAGCGTAATTTCATTCCTAATTCCGTCTCTAATGTCATTAGTGACGGAAAAAATAGATTTAGAAAAAAAATATTTTATTACAAAAATAATTTTTTCTTGTAGGGAACTTCTTCTTGTTGGCTGATATATTTGCGAGGACATCAAACCTAATCAAATATTACATAACCAAATATAATGATCAAATAGATTAGCTATAACAATCCTTCAGATAAAATAAAGTAATCTATTCTATTACAAACCATAGAAACATGCCAAAAAGAATGACGACTCTGCTTCAGTCCATATACCCTATTCAAAACCAGGTAAAAAAATAATACTAAGTAAACATCCAAGCTAACCACCAATCGAACATTGTATCATATCCATCAATTCAAAAAAGATAAAGATAAGGACATTTTACCAACCCACAACAACAATAAATTAAAGACATCAACTCCTTCACTCATCCATTTATCTCCCTTTGGGAGACATCTAAGCTTAAAAGGCTTGAGAGCCTTAGTTCTAAGAATAATTGGGGTGAAGAAGATGCTTCTTCATTAGTATTCTAATTTGAAATTTGTTCGGATAAAGAAAAATTCCCGGTAGAAGGCGATTCATCATGTCTAACTCTCTTTTCAAATTCATCAATCTAGCGTTATGGTCGTCAACTTATTT